AATATATATATATATATACACACACATATATAAAATATATTGTCTGAGCTCAGCCTCAGAATAAATATGAAGAGTTCAGCTTGGGGCAGGAGTGGGTGGGGGAGAGCCCTCGAGAAGGTGTCAGCAGCGGGGACCCCTGCCCAGCCCCTTGAGGTAGAGCGGCCCTGCCCAGCACCAGGGGCCATAACGATGAGCTATGAACGGAAGGGGATTCTGTCCAGGGGGCAGCAGCCAGGCTGGGCGTCACGTGGGCCTGGGCGAGGGGAGTCCGGCTGGGTCTTGGGTGGCCACCCGGAAGAGGCCCAAGACCGTGGCGCGCTGGTCCAGCTGCCACGTGTGCGCCTCGGGCCCCGCGCTCAGGTGGACCCCCAGGCGCTGGCCGGGGTCCAGGTGCAGCAGGCGGCTTTGGAAGCCAGAAACCGAGTGCGGGGCCTCGGAGGACCCGGGCGGCAGGTGCACGGTCAAAGTCAGAGCGGCGGGCCCGGCGGGAGCGGCGGCGGCGGCCGTGCGCAGCGGCTGCAGGTGCAGCGCGAACGAGACCGAGCCCCAGCCGGAGCCTGAGCCCGAGCCGGGGTTTGGGAGGACGGCCACGCGTCGCAGCTCGGCTTGCAAGAAAACATAGTAGACGCCGGCCTCGGTCACCTCCAGCTGCCGCGTGTCCTTATCGTAGCTCACGCCGGGCGACAGGGACACGCCGTCCAGGCCCAGGTCGCTGTACCAGCCCAGGGGCCCGTCGGTCAGCAGAACTGCGGGAGGGGAGAGATCCGCGCTGAGCACCGCCGCCCGGCCCTGCGCAGGGGGTGGCGGAGCCCTGGGCCGGAGGGGACGAAAGTGGGGAGTGAGGTGGGACTGGGGGAGGGGGGGAAGGGATCGAATGGAGGAAGAGACCTGGAAATCAGTCCGGAAGGGGAAAGGGCTCCAAGAGGGAGGGCGGGGAAGAGGAGGGGTGGGCTGGCGCGAGGTGAGCGACTTCCAGCAGCAGGAGGAGGAAGCGAGGCGGGGGCGGATCGCCCAGAGCCGGCCAGCGGGAGAGACGGAACCAGGCGGGGCGCTGCGCGTGCCAGTCCCGGGCGCTGAGAGCGCACAGGTGGCGAGGCGACGGCGACCGCAGACTCGGAGGACAGTCAAGAAGGGGGGTCGATGACGTTCAAAGAAGAGAAGTGGCAGCTTTCAGCAGGGGGAGGTTGGAGAGCGAGAGGGGGTCCCACCCAGAGCCTCACTCTCCCCGGGACTCCTTTTTCTTCGTGCCCCACCGCCCGCCCACCGCCACCACGAGCAGGGGCAGGGAAAATGCGCAGGACACTCACCGTCTTCAGCCACCAGCTGTCCGAAAAGAGGAAAGCCCTGCCGAAAGAGGAAAAAAGAAAGGTGAATGGAGGCTCCCCTCGAAAGTGGGACTCCTGCCCCCACCTACACTGGCCGTTGGGGTCCCCGAGGGTCTGCGTAGACCTTGAGCCTGAGCTTTCCCGCCCGCTCCAAAAGAACACAGGGGCCGGCGCGCGACGTTGGTGGCTCCGCCTGCCCCAAGGACAGAGCCGTCGTAGAACTCAGGAGGGAAAAGAGGAAAGATGCCTCTTCCTCCTGCCCCCTCCCACAGGGGGGCCGGGGGGGGGGGCAATCCCCCGGAGATCTCGGGAGGGGAAAGGGGGATACCCCAAGGGACCAGGAGAAAAAACGAGGCTCTCTGAGAGTTAGTGAAGGAAGTTGGGGGGTGGTCACCTCAGTGGTCCGGGATAAGGAATAATTGCCCCTCGCGTCCGGCACCGAGAAAGGGCTCCCTCGCCTCTGGGGAACCGGGGTGCAGATGGGGGCTCGCGGGGATGCGGGATGAGAAGGGGTGGCCCCCCAGTGGAAGATGGAGAAAGGGAGCCTTCGCGAGGTCGCAGAACTGTGGAGTCTCCTCTGGGCCTAGGGGTGTAGATCGCGACTCAAAAGTGGGGGTGCGACCGGTGCGGTGGCTCAAGCCTGTAATCCCAGCACTCTGGG